GTCTTTTCCTGGTCTTTGGGGAAAAGCATCAGTCTTTCAACATTAAGTATGTGATAGTTGTGGGTTTTCACAGATGCCCTTTATTAGGTCTAGGAAGTTCCATTTTATTCCTAGTGTGTTGAAAGTTTTTATAATGAATGAACATTGGGTTTTTCAAGTGCTTTTCATGCACCTATTGAGTTGATCATGTGGTTTTTGTCCTGTATTCAATTAATATAGTGAATTACATTAATTGATTTTTGGATGTTAAATCAACTGTTTACATCTGGGATAAATCCCATTCTGTCGTGTTGTATAATCCATTATGTATGTTTGTGGATTTGATTTGCTAATATTTTTGGAGGATTTTTGTACCTATGCTCATTGCTTTTGTACGTATTGGTCCGTAGTTTTCAATGTATTTTTGGCTTTGATAGCAGAGTAATGCTGGCCTCCTAGAAGTGTTCCCAACTCCTTTATTTTTGGAATTGATCTTTCTTGTGAAGGACCAATATTATTTCTTCTTTAAAATGTTTGATAGGTTCTCCAATGAAACCATATAGTTCAGGAATTTTCTTTGTGGAAAGATTTTGAATTATTAATTAAATTTCCTGTTATGTATAGGTGTATTCAGATTATTTACTTATTTATTCTTGAGTCCATTTTGGTAATTTCTGTCTTTTTAAGAATTCATCCATTTCATTTAAATTATCTAGTTTGTTGACATAAATTATTTATAATATTCCCTTTCATCCTTTTTAATTTCTGTAGGATTGGTAGTAATGTTTTTTCTTGATTTTGGTAGTTTGTGTTTTCTCTTATTTCTTCATGGTAATTCTATCTTGAGGTTTGTCAAATTTGTTGATATTTTCAAAGAAATTACTTGTTTTCCTGGATTTTTCTCTTGTTTTTTTGTTTTCATTGTAATTATTTCCATTCCAATTTTTATTATTTCATTTATTCTGCTTGGGTTGAGTTTAGCTTGCTCTTCTTTTTCATGATTGATTTTAAATCTTTCTTCTTTTCTCACACAGCCATTTAAAGCCATAAATTACTCCCAAGGGATTGCTTTAGCAACCATCTTATAAATTTTGACGTATTGTGTTTCATGTGTTCTGTGGCTTTCATCTGGTTGCCTATGAAATATATTGTAGTAACTCTTTGTATATATCCTAATCAGTATTTGTTTAGCTTATTAAATATATTGATGAACAACAAATTTGAGGAGTTTGGGGCATAATTTCTTCAAATGTTTTCCTGATCCCCCCCCCCCTTTTATCAGGCAGTCCCATTACATGTATATTGGTGTGCTTGATGTTATCTCATAGGTCTCTGAGCTCTGTTCAATTTTTCTTCAGTCTTTTTTTTTCTTTGCTATTCAGATTGGATAACTTCTGTTTCTCTCGAATCAAGTTTAAAGATTCTGTTTTGCCAACTTGAATTTTCTCTCAACTCCCCCCACCCCCAGTGAATATTTCACTTCAGTTATTATATTTTTCTACTCCAGACTGTTGTTGTTGTTAATCCTCAGCTGAGGATATTTTTTTCTATTGATTTTTAGAGAGAGTGGGAGGGAGAAGGGGAGGGAGAAAGAGAGAAACATCAATGTGAGAAATACACATGTGGTTGCCTCTGGCACAAACCCCAACTGAGGCAGGGATGGAACCTGCAACCCAAGTACATGCCCTTGACCAGCAATCAAACCTGTGACCCTTCCATACCTGGGCCAACACTCTAACCATTGGGAAACACTGCCAGGGCCAGATTTTTTTAATCTGATCATTTTGTAATTTCTCTCTCCTTGATAATCTCTATTTGTTAATTTGTAGTTGTGTTGGTTTGTACTTTGCTTTAATTCTTTTTTTTTAAATATGTTTTTATTGAGTTTTAGAGAGAGACGAAGGGAGAAGAAGAGAGAGAAACATCAATGTGAGAGAGAAACATCAATTGGCTGCCTCCCCTATGCACCCCCACCGGAGATTGAACCCAAAACCTGGACATGTGCCCTGACCGGGAATTGAGCGAGTGACCTTTCAGTGCACAGAGCAAAGCTCAACCGACTGAGCCACTCTGGCCAGGGCTTTCCTTTAATTCTTTAAGTATGATTTTCTATAGTTCTTTGAATATGTATATCCATAAATTCACATTTCTAAATACAAATATTATATTTATAGTAGTTGCTTCGAAGTCATGATCTGCTAAATAAAACATATGGGGACACTCAGAGACAGTTTATACTAAGTTATGGTTTTTGTTGTTTTTTCCACCTGAGAATAATCACACTTTTCTGATTCTTTTTTCTGATATTTTTATTGAAAAATATATTGTGTCAACTCTAGATTCTGGATTTTCTCCCCAAAAGGTTGCTGTTATTAATGTCTGTTTGTTTAGAAAATTGCCTGGGCTAAATCTGTGAAATTATGTTCCCTGTGATGTGTGGCTGCTGATGTGTCTTCTTGTTTTTTTATTTCCTTTTTTTAAAAATATATCTTTATTGATTTCAGAGAGAGGAAGGAAGAGGGAGAGAGAGATAGAAACATCAATGAGAGAGAGACATTGATTGGCTGCCTCCTCCACACACCCGACGCATCCCGGCATGTGCCTGACCGGGAATCTTACCATGATCTCATGGATCCTAGGCCGACCCTCAACTGCTGAGCCATGCCCGACTGGGCTTTTTATTTTCTTTTTAATACTTTTATTTTTCAGCAGAGTTTCATGGGTTCACTCCTTTGTCTACATAGCTTAGTGACAGAGATTGTGCTCAAGCACTTTAAGTCTTCCATCTTTTGCCAAATGAATATAAGTATGTATTGGGTAGCACATTCAAATTTTAGTCTATTTCAAGCCTTCCCCAGCTTGAACTTTCTTCTAAGTCTTTTCATGTCTCTGCTGCATATGCTCATAGCTTCAGGGTTGAGCAGGAGTGTTTGGCTAGTTTGACTCTTTTGGGTCTCCACTCAGCATGCACACAGCTTCAGCCAAGCATATGCTTACTGCAGTCATGACCACAACCTCACACCAGCAGAGCCTCTGACTCTTCCTGCTTGCACACAACTGATTTTGTCAGTTCACCATTGCATCACTCCTCACCCCAAATTAAGTGAGCTCCCTTCAACTGCGTAATTTTACTGCCAGTCCTCATGGTCTGCCCTACCCTGGAAGAACCTTCATGCCCATCAAGCTAGGTGTTGGGGGGTGAGGGAATTGGAGCAGCTCCAGGCAAGAATACCACTGTTGTTCCCAGAATTCTTCAGTTTTCAAGTAGCAACACTTCTCAGATTGTTGTATGCCTTTGGCCATTTTCCAAGTGCTGAAATAGTTAGTCTTTTTCATCTAGTCTAGTTTGATAGTTGCTTTTCAAGGAGATCTATTGCTCTCACTTGACTATGACCAGAAGGCATTTCTAGCATTCACTTTTAAATTATGAAAAGCATAAATGTTATCATTTTAATTAAAAGTTTATCTTTATAGAATTCCCAATAATTCTAAGACATGTCAGCTTGTGGCTCAAATGCCATTTGCCTGACAGTGAGCTCAGAAATAGGAAGTTGATATCACCATCTTCCTCAGACTCCTTTCAGAGAGAGAAGGAGGCAGTTAAACCACCCAGTGTCTGTATGCTTTATAGCAGTTTCATAGGCTGGAAAGTGAAGCCTTTATCTATTTATTTTATCACAAACTCACCCTTAACTATGTGACATTCATAAGGTTAAGATGTGGGACACAGTCTTTTCTTAAGATGCTCGGCCTTTCATTCTCCCATAGCAGATTTATTTTGGGCTATAAATCCAGGCAGATATTCTCACAAGAAAATACATTATCTGACAAGAGTCCAGCAGCAGTGTGAGGCAGGCTGCTTTTAAGTGTGAATATGTTATATTCCTGACTGCTACCTTTGTCTTCTCACCACTCCTGTCTGTTTCTGGTGCCTGATTATGAGAGTAATACATGCTTTTTATAAAAATGTAGAAAGGACAAAATAAAAGACTACCTATTCTTCAAACTATTCAGCAACATCAATGTTGACAATTTAATTTGTTTCCTTCCAGTTTGTGTTTGTAATTTATGTAATTGTGCCTATATTATTTACGATCCTGTTTCCAAAATTATATAGTTACCTTAGGGTTATTGTAGAAGCTTTGGGAATACAGAACTGTATGTAAATCACCTGGTTGTTTTCTTCCGGTCTTTCTGATTTGCACACATATATTTAGTGTTTTATTTTCATCAAATATGATCTTACAATATATACAGTTTTTTCATTATATATTTGTTTTTACATGATATCCATTTTTCATGTTATGAACTATATAAACATAAATTTAAATGGATGCAAGATATTTCATGGAAATGTAATAATTTTTAACTTCTCCTCTCAGACTTAGACTTTTTTTTCTACCTTTTAGAGGGAAAATCTGCATGATGGAAAACAAGTACTATTTCCTCAGGGTTATAACCTAAGGAAATGATTCAAGAGTGGAATGATTGGGTCAGATTCACAACTAATGTGAGGCTCATTGGACATTGACCCAGAATGGTTAGAACAGTGGTCACTGGCAACAGCACACACGGGTGACCATCTGGTATCACCCTTGGCATTCAGAAGCCCTCACTGTTTTCTCACTGGGACAGTGATTTTTTTTAAACATGTAGGTTAAATTATTTGTACCAAAGCTCAAAGTTATTTGCACTTGAAAAACATGTGCAAGCTTGTCTGGTCAGAGATGGAGTATCACCAGCCTGGATAATAATTCTTGGTCTGTATGAGTACTTTTAGTAGTACGAAAGTGAAATCCATTTTGACAGGTAAGTGCAAGTGATAGATCCTATTTTAAAGTTTTCCTCAAATAAAGTAAAACTTTATTGTACAGTTACAGTTTTGTTAACCTAAATCTCTTGAGGATTAAACATGCATCTCTCATTTAAAATGTTATGTGTATGTATTGTAATTTTAAGAAATCATTTGTTACTTTAATGGAGAGCAATACTTTTTCTTGTTCCTCTTCCCTACCACATAGGATCTGAAGAAGCTGAAGAAAAGCAGGACAGTGAAAAGCCACTTTTAGAGCTATGAGTTCTACTTTTGTTAAAGTAAGTCTTTGAAAATGAAAATGTAAAATGTAACAACGAAGTACTAAAATAGGGAGCATTTCTTCAAGCAGATTCAAAGTAAAATTTAAAGAATATGACTGTGAATATGTAGCGGGATTTTTCCTATTTACATGCATTCGTCAGTCACATTTTAATTTCTGTAAAATGTTCTAATATTTTCTGTATGGGTATAAATTTGTGAAGTATGAAAAATACCTGAGTCCCAAATTTCTAAATATGGATGAATTCATTTTTGTTTACTTAGCCAAAATGTCTCCATCTTAGACATTGTTTAATTACAAACCCTAACTTGTTTGCTGTGAGGTTAGCAGTCCTATAAGATGAGGTAGTTATTGCCTCCATTTACACCTGAGGCAGGTGAGACTTAATTCTTGATTGACCATACCCATTGTCCTTTAAGTGTCTAACATAGCCCATCTTCAGTACACAGACTTTGTTATAAAAACATAAGGCAAAGTATAGCATTTTGCCTTTTAACACAGCATCTCAAATATTTTTGTGTTCTCTCTTTTTCTAAGTTTGAAAAATCCTCATTGAAAGTCCCCGGAGGGCAAAAAGGACTGGAGATGGGGTCTTAGTACGGAAAGTTGGAATGGTGACATCCACTGCTGACTTGGTTGGTTGGCTAATAAAGAATTTATTTATTGTAATACCTCACAGATACTGTACCATATTCACATAAGTTAGTAACCTGCCTGTGGCTTGTAAGATAATGTGATGATCCACCCTGTATTCAGTGAGACTGAGTCTGTTGTTGCTGAATAGTTGCAGAATGCTCTTATGCTGTATTCCTAATCAAAAGGCTTCTTAATATATTCGAATAACACTTTTTTAGTAAGCAAAATGTCTTTTTATTTGGATTCACATAATGGAATTATTTTGTTTCATGTCTCAGATTTCTTTTGTATTTCTTTTTTTAACATCCTACATTTTCTTTGTGTTTTTCAACTCATGCACATGTGTTCTATGTACAATTTTAAAAAGTAATAAAATCCAACATATCAAAATTTTTGGTTTTATTTTTCTAGTTTTGCTTTATGTATTTGGTCAAAAGTATTGGAATTATAAAAGGGGGACAAGGAGGAATTATAAATACATAAAAAGGTCACCAGACATTTTGTATTATTTTTATTGTGAAATAGTTTCTCTCTCTTACCAGTGTGGTTCTAACGTGGTCTGAGTACTCTTATTTGAACCCGCACTGTGAAATCATTGCTGTCATTTTCCCTTTGTGTTTAGCTCATTTGAATTAAAGTAGACTAAATTATATTGTGAGCTTTTTTTTTTTTTTAACTTTCACTACAGCTCCAGCACAATCCTCCTATGTACAGGTACACGCTGACTACCCTAACTGGGGGCCCCTTTTCTTTCAGCTTACCTTGTGGACCTCTTCTGTCAAATATTGCAGAAACTGGATCTCCTTGGCCAAGGAATCTGCTTTCTCTTTCAGAGCCTCATTTTTCCTTTCTAGCTCTAGACACTCACCATTGAGGGACTCCTGCTCTGCAGTCTTCTAATGGCTGCTGTCTTGTTCTACTCCATTTATTTCAGCTTTTTGTCTTGTTTATCACCCTTTACTTTTGCTGCTACCATCTTGTCTCCAGGAGGGTTGTAGGTTTTGGGGTAGGCAGAGCCACAGAGGGTACCTGGAGACAGCAGGCTCCTATTTGGAGAGGTCCTGGAGGGTAGAAGGACTGTGCTGTGGTGAGCCCAGATAGGACCTAGGGCCCATAGAGATGCCACTATCATTATCTGAGATGGCATCCTCTTATGCATTGAGAAATTATGGTAATATAAGCAAAGTCTGACTTACTATCTCCTTCAGAAATACCAACGTCATTGCCTAGCTCTAAACTAAAGGAATGATCCAGAATGGAGGACAGGGCCCCTGGAGAAAGGGGAGGAGGCTGCAGGAAGGTGAAGGGGGCAACCTGGTCAGTTTTGGGTAAACTTTCTGGAAGATGGCCAGTGTGGTTCACTGGGGGGGAGGTTCCTTATTAATCTCCTGGTCTCGGGGGTCAAAAAGATCACACCTGTCATCCAGCATGGCCAAAAGCTCATCGGGCATGGTTTCCAGGTCATCTAAACTTAACAGGTTGTCAGAGTCAAACTCCTTGATATCCATTTCCTCCACTATTCAATCTGTCCTGGAGAAGGCTCTTTCCTTGTTCTGTCTGAGGCATTGACCAACCGTCCACAGCCAGCCATTCAGAGGAGCCCATGTTAGCCTCATCGCTGGAGAACCCATGAGGTTTGAAGTGCTTGGCCACCTCCAGGTGAAGTTGTCTAACAGACCTATGCTTTCTTCAGTCCTCAAACCCAACTGGTCAAAGGGGGGCATCAAGTCCCCCACCAACACCTCGCTGCTCAAGAAGCTCATCTCAGTCATGCTGTGGGGCTTTTCTTAATTCTATGGTCTTTGTCGGTTATAGCAATGCTGCTGTTGGATGCTGTGAAAAGCACCACGGCTTAAGCCACTGGAGGTGCCGCTGCAGAGCCTGGTGCTGTTGCTGCCACTTCAAAGTCCAAGGCTGCCGTGGGCACAGCTGCCTCTAATGTGCCACAGCGGCCTCAGACCTGGATCTGTGGGAGTGGAGGATGGAAGCACACACACACGCACTCTACCTCGGCTGCAGGAGCAGGAGAACTTGTGAGCTTATTCTTTAGTAATGTGAATAATTACCTTAATGCTTCATAGGAAGGCAGCATGTCTGTTAGTTTTCTTTCATTCATGTGTCATTTAAGAAAAACTGAATTGTGTGTAATGGTAATGGTGCTGGTCTGGATGGAAACTGACCACCTGTGCAGGTCAAATCAACTCCATCTGTGCTTGTTCTAAGAATGAGCCAAATGACACAAATGCAACGGGGGAGGCTCACAGGGAGGCTGGAGCCTAACCAGGAAGAGCTTCTTATGTGGAGAAAGCAATGAGGGGAAGCTCCAGGGTCTGGCTTTGGGACTAAAACATTAAGAACTCTGGTATCATCACAGAATGCCGTGTCTCAGGACTGGATTCATATACACACGAAGCCCTCAGATGATGCCTAGGCCGGATGTCGTTTTATTAATTTAACCTGAGGAGTTCTCACTCAAACATGCTGAACTGTACCAGTGGGGTACCGCCCATCGTCATAGGAAGCCAAGGCTCCTAGAAATTGGCTCTTAGAGCATAGACCAACAATAATGAAGTATCTGATTTAAATATGCCATGAAGTCAGACTAGGAAAGCCTGAAGCATTTATCTCCACAATCGAGCTCTATTTCCCCCAGAACTGCACAGATTGAGACCATGGGCCTGGGCACCAGTCTGTACCATGCTTGGGTGGGATGGGCGTGGGAACATTTGCTCTTTATGTTCACATTGCTGAACAGCCCCTTTCTACTTGACCCCAGTCACTTTTATCTGATGTTCATGTCCTCTATTAAGCTTTGCTTAGGTTGACTGAAGTCTCTTTCTTTCTTTGGAGGGATGTACATGATTCAGCATAGGACATTCAGTGACACAGTTGAACTTAGGGCCTTGCCATCTCTGTGTTCTTGTGAAGGAAAGAGCTCATCACTGTTGCCCACATCTATGATCTGTCCATGCTACAAAGTTCACAGCCACGGGCCTTGTGTCACCCTGTCTACACTGAGAAAATGAAACCAAATGGTACAGGCCTCAGTAAATCAAATATGGAAAAGCACAGATATTTGGTGAAATGTTACAAGAGTATACTAGTGCTGTCTGCTGTTTCCTTTAGAACAGTGTCATGATGGACTGAAGGTGCAGCATCTGAACAGTCCTGGGCATAAGATTTCCAACTCCCATAGTAGCTAACTGGAATAAGCTGTGTATAAAAAGCTGGGAACCCCTACCCACAGCCTAAGTGTAGCTCTGATAACAACAGCCTGCACGTGTATGTAGATGAATATTTTCTTCACGTTAGCTGTGGCCTTTTGAAAGTAAGCAAAGTTGGTTGAGGTTTAACTGTCCTTATTTTACCTGATAACACCCTAGCCACTGCTGGCAAAACCCAACCATTAGGGGCCGGTTTGACTGTGAGCATTTTCCACGAATCAACCACATTTGCCAGAGCACATAAACAAAAGAAGCCTGAGAATATGAAACACCATCAGCCACATCAGCACCCTCCTGCCACCCACACTGACTCCTCCACCACCACCTCCGCTCTCCTTCTCTCTACCGCCCATTTCAGAACAGCCCAGGATGAGTTGGGGAAGGAAGTGGCTGTGAAGTTTGAAGCCACAGGAGATGCCACCTAATAGTACCCAGCTGTGAAATTGGCCACACACAGCTTTCAGTGACTTCAAGTTTCCTCTGCTTCTACCTTTCCCTATGCAGAAATAGTTTCAACTCTCTTAAGTCAGGGGTTTTCAATCTTTTTCATCTCATGGCACACATAAACTAATTACTAATTCTGCAGCACATCAAGAAATGTTTTTTGCTGATCTGACAAAAAAGTAGGTATAATTTTGATTGAATTCCAAAAACAATAATAGTAATTACCTACCCTTTTTGCTCAAAGTGACTTTTTAAAAAATCAGGTGCCTACACTTGTATATAAGGATTTCTGGTACCAAGAATAAACCAATCAGACTCAACCTTATTATGCGACGTGACCCATAAGATGCAACTCTATTATATGATCTATATATTCATGTTTCAAGATAGGGCATTCACACCTGATGGGTAGTGTTATGTTGACTATTTTCATTTTTTAATTTGACAATCTAAGGGAAAAGAGCTCAGTGCCCCTGACTAAATAGTCAGGTATTGCATATTTTAAAAATTCTTTTGGTACATCAGTTGAACATTGCTATTCTAAGTGGAGCAGTTTTTGGCCTAAAGAGGTCTGACCAAATCAATGAGAATCAAGCAGTATATCTAATTAAATTTAATCTTTCTTGTATCTGGTGTTATTTTCTTTCTGAATGGGAACCTCTACTTGGTTTCCAAAGGACCTGTTCCACAGAGCCTGAAGCTGATTGTAAACAAACAAAATCTTCCTAATTTTAAATGAGACATTGTTTTAATTCTAATATATAAGTTTTTACTTTTGAAGGATTCATTAAAAATAGAAAAATATACAATCACTTTTTTTTTTTCACCCATTGAACGGTTTCATACTTTGAAAATTTTGTTTTATGCCTATGCCCGTGGACATACACAGACACGTATAAGTGAGTGTCATACTTGTTACTATTGTTAATAGAAAAAGTGATCAAAGGACATGAACAAATATTTCACAGAAGGAGAAATATAAATAGACTTTAAATATGTGAAAGGATGCTTATCCTCACTCATAGGAGAAAACTAAATTAAAGCCACAATGAGACTATTTTTCAGTTATCATGTCAGCCAAGTCCTTGACAGCACACTCTTGGCATTCACCTACATTACAGTAGAAATGACCAATGCACATATTCAAAATGACAAAACACTAGTATTTATTTCAGCATTTTTATAATAGGATTGGAAATAAGCCAACAGTCTATCATGGAGAACTGATTTTATAAAGTATTGCACATTCACCAGTGAAATGTGCAGGCAAGCATCCCTACATACTGACGTAAGAGCTCTAGGATGTGTAAGTAAGAAGAGAAGTGCAGAATAATGTGCACTGTATACTACTTTTGGGTACTAAGGGAGGAAACTAGAATATATATAAACATGCATATGTATTTATATACGTACATTCATATCTGCATATTAAAAACAAGAAGGGTGCACAAGAAGCAAAAGTTTGCCCTGTAAGAGGTTGGGGAGTAAGACAGTGATTGAAGCAAGATATCTTAATGCATTTTTAGAGTGTTTTGATTTTTGAACCAGATGAAAGTATTACAATTTTAGTAGGGTTCTGCTATGCATATTACTTTTCAACACTTCCTGATTAATTTTTCATTCCTTTAAATAATCTACATTTTTTGAAGATGCATAGTAATCTGTCATATGACATCCTTTCATCTAGTTTTTTAGTTTCTTATTGGATACTTGGGTTAATTTGGGGCTGCTATAAGTAGTGCTACACTGAATGAGCATCCTTGCACATAAATCTTAGTACATACCTCTGCTTCCTTAGGAAATCGATGGGTCATGGTAAGAACACTTTCTGGGTTGCAGCATGTTCTGCTGTCGAATGGGCTGTGATGGCTCCTTGCTCCTGAGCTGAGATAGCAGCACCAGAGCTCAGGAGCTATTTCAGTCACCTGCTGGCCTGAAGCCAGCTACACATTAGAATTGCTAAAGGAGGTTTTTGTAAAGTCTGATGTCAGGCCTGTGATGAAGTCTGGGCCTCAGTGATTTTCCAAGATTCTGAGAGGACAACCGCTGATATAATGGGCAAGACAGCAGATTTTAAGTCAGATGGACCTGGAACCATGTGGACTCGGGCACTACTCCATGCTTAGCCTTGGGCATAGCTTTTAACCTCTCTGCACTTAGTCTTCACATCAGTGAAATGAGCATGATGCCTGCGCTTTGGTACAGTGAGAGCATTAGACAGAGCATGCAAACTGCCTGGCAGAATTCCTGATGCTCACTAAGTTGTAGGTACTTGATGTTACTCATACAGAACAAAAGAAAACAAACAAAAAATAGCCTAACAGAACCTGGCAGAGACCATGTATTTACCCAGATAAGTTTTCATGGCTAATGAAATGTTGAGTTTCTAGCTTCTTGATTGAATTGTATCAGGTTGTTATCTCTGGCTATCTCTTATTACTCAGAATTTCTAATTGGCAGTTATATAGGACTTTGATTAATGTAAAGAGAAAATCAAGTATTAGTTAATTAGGGTCTGCTTGATTGACAGAAAGCCTTCAAAAATGTATGAGTTTGTGAGGAAAAGAATTCTAAGACAGTGGAGAGAATTCATATTAGGAATAGTGTTGAGAATTGTTGCCTTGAAGTTTCCCTTATTTTATGGTTGAGAAGTGTATGGAGTATGATAGCTCTATAAAGACTATTGAGACATTAGTGCTCTTATGTGGAATTGTATAAATCTTGTCTAATTTTTCCATTGCACACCTATGGATGCAGCCTGTTGTTCTGGTATTTATTTCATCCAACCAAGTGCCTTGGACTGTAATCACAGATGTCTGGCGGGTGGGAGGTCAGCATATAAAAATCTTTCAAACACAAAAAAATTGTGTAGCAGGTTGGCGTATAATCTTCTAACTGTGTGAACAGCATAAGAGTAAGGAGAAAAAGTGTAGATAGGAAAAGAGGCAGTTCTCTTCATCAGGTCTTAGCTTAATAAGAAAGGAAATTTTCCTGTCTTAATTGAAACTAAAAGTAACTTGTTTCTATTCTAGTAGCAACTAATGTAGAAGAAAGAGCAGAGCTCTGGTAGCCAGGCTTCTTGGGTTCAAATCCCAGCTCTGCTTGTTATTAGCTAACTATGAGGATATTCTTTATCCCCTCTTTGTCTCAGTTTCTCCATCTGTAGAACAGAGATAATTATACTTGTTTCATAGAGTTCTTATGAGAAGTAAATGAGTTAACACATACTTAGACTGGTATTGCTCAGCACTATGCAAGCATTCGCTATTACTTCATTAGGATGTTAATCAATGAATTTGTAAGTTGTGCTAGAAATTATTTAAATTGAACACTTTCTTTTAAAGATTGGTAAACTTAGGCAATATGACATGGTCAAGAACAAATGACACAGCTAGTTAGAGCTAGACCAAGTAACCGAGGCTCTAACTACGGAGTGTGAGGTGAAACTTCTGGTCCAGTGTTCCTCCCACCATGCCATGTGACAGTCTTGCTGTGGTGGAAAAATACTGGACCAAAAAGGGAGTATACCCACCCCCTACCTCAGAAATGCCCACGGACATATCACAGGCTTCCACAGGGTGATTCTGAGGACCTTGGGCCCATTCAGTGTAAGGGAGGAGGTGGAGTGTCTGAATGGTGTACCAGAGAGCACCATCAAAGACCCTGCTCTGCCTGAAACTCTCATTTCATTAGCACCCCAAAAGAGCAGCTGCAAGTCTAGGACACACATAAAATAAGGCAGAATTTCCATACTTTTGATAATCAAGGGAGCAATTTTGGTTCTACCAGAGTATATACATGAGGAGAAAATATAGATACACCTGTAATCCTTAAGAAAATTCTCACAGACTCCTTGGAGAATGCCTTTAGTAAAGAGGCAGAGCATGTTTTGTTTTGTTCTTCCCAGTTGAAAGTAGGCGAATGGGAAGCCACATGATACCAGGTAACAGAATATGGGCTCTGAGTTTAGAGAGACCTGGCTTCAAACGACAGTTACTTACAAACTGGTGACCATGAGCAGATAACATAATCTCTCCAATCTGTAAACTGTGGACCCACCTCCAAGGGCTCTGAGAGGATTAATGGGATTGACTGGTTTGTAGTAAAAACTCAGTGAGTTCCTATTCCATCCACATGTAACCTCTCTTCAGGGAAATAAGATTAGAGATGATTGTCAGTGTGTGTGTGATCTATTATTTCTAAAGTAGAGCTACTATTAATGTAAGAAACATTCAAACCTTGTTTTATACGTTGCAATAAAAAGAGGAGACGTAAATGGGTTACATGAAATTCATTGGTGACAGATTAGGGAGGCGGGAGAAGGCAAAGTGGGATTGGATGAACAGTAAAATGATGGACACACTCTTCTTTTACTTAGGTGGGTGCAGGATAGTTAACAGTCAACAATTAACTCAATAACCATGGGGATTTGTGGTCTCCACAGAGCGGTGCCTGTGCTTTGAGGGTCTGGAAAAAGGAAAATTACTTTGACATTCCAACAGTACGTCATCATAGATGCAAAAAGATAATAGACAGGCTCACTTAAGGTAAAGAGTGACTTTTGTCAGGGAAGATGACGGTAGGACATGACTACCATCATAAACTGCTTTTTAGTTAAAAAGTTTTAATTTCAGAACATCCTTTGTGGTTACCTTAGGTCTCTTGAGTTTGCAAGGCTGCCACACAGGCCTTCCCTGAGCTAGTCAGGTTTAGCATGTGGCCCCTTTTCTTCCACACTACTAACAGTAGCTGCTAATGCTGTTGAGGACTTACATGTACTAAACATTATTAACTCATCTAATTCACACAATTGGAGGAGACCAGTCACTGTAACTTCATTTTACAAATGAGAAAATTATGACACATGGAGTTCAAAGAGTTTGTCTAAGGTCACTCAGATACCCATGCTAGACCCGGGATTCAAATCCAGGCACTTAGGGTTCAGAGTAGACGTGCTTCACCCCTCACCACACTGCCTTTCCAGTGTCAGTGCAGTTCTCATGGGGTTATTGTGAGGATCAGGAAACTTGATGCTTGTGAAACATTAGTACAGACCTGAGCACACACTGCAAATCATGGTAGATGCTACAGTGTCACCATTGGAATTTACCAAACAAAATGAGTATGAATATGTTGACCTTTGAAAGAGAAGTAACCTGGGCACCTTCATTTGGTCCTGGCTCCCATTGGAACCAGTACCCCAAAGGAAGCATCATAACTACTGTCCCAGGGAAAGAACTAGAAATGTAGTGTTGAGCATTATGCCGATGCTGAATTTGATAGTTCATTTGCTATGCTCTTTCTTATCTTGGACTTTTCAATTTGATTTATTAAATTAAAGTACATAGACCAAAACAGACTTTTGATTTTTTTTTTAAATTTTATTGTCCTATCATGAAAAACAAAATACAGAATTCAAGTAGCAAAGATGGCAGCTTCCAGGTGTGTAAAATGAAAAGCTTCAAGGCAGTTATCTGGTTAAGGAGCATTAAGGAATGTGACTAGAAGATGGGTGCTATCTGTACTCAGAAGGCATGATCATTTGGGTTGGCTAGAGGAGCTGATGGAGATTATGGGAAAAGTGGGTCTAAAGGGTATCCTTTGGCCCTGCCCCTGAGTAATGGCAGAATCTGTTATTGTTACAGAGTGAAATTTTCTTTTGTCCAGTGGTTTCCAAACTGTTATGCAATAATGACATAATAGAAAAATGCACATGTGAACTGAAATAATCCAAACCCAGAAAGAAAGTCCAGCTAGATCCTTAGCAGACATGTTCAGGGACAAAAAAAACAACAAAGAAAAGTTGACCCTTTTGTGCCATGCTATGAACTCTTTCCATGGCCACAGACTGCTGTTTTCCTAAGCAGACAGGAGGAAATGATGGCAAAGTAGACCAGGCTCTTGAGAAGGAGGACAAGGTAGGTGTAGTAGGCAGAGGTATTGGTGAGCTGCAGCTGCAGTGTATCTAGGAGAAGTAATTTGATTAGTTTCGCCTGTTCTTTTGAAAGGGTAGGAAATATTAAGGGTCACAATTATTTACTTCTTATGATCTACATTAAAGTGACACTGTTGCACCATCAAACCCCACAATAAACAAACATCTACCACCACCACCAAGACAACGTAGAATCCAGCTTGCAACTCAAGTCAATCAACAACCTCTGCTAAATTCACTGAGAACACTCCAAAATATTAAAAACTAAGGTTGCTTTTTTAATGAGTGAGTCTAATGAGCAGAAATTATTTGTGGCAAATAACTTTTAGCATTTCTTCGCCCCCACCATGTCTCTAATTAATAATAGCTAATATTCATTAATCACTAACCAAATGCCAAACACTCTGAGAGCTTTGTATGCAAAGCATTAATCTTATATACTTTTTACAATAACCTATTTTAATTCCCATTTTATAAATAAATTGAGGCCAGAAAGAGAAGTACTTTGCCTGATGTCATGCATTTAGTAAGTACCAGAAAACAGACTTCAATCTCGGCAGCATGAATTTGCAAATCACATTAGTTGCTCTGTAATTCTGTATCTCCAAGTGCAATAAATAACACCCCAGACATCAAAGGGTTAAGCTTAAGAATAAAGTTGAGTTGCTGATTTAGAAGTATCTGGGTCATTACATGTACATGCAATATGATTTCCACTAAGGGTACAATCCATGAAAATTTGGTGGTGGTCGCAATGGGGTGGGTGTGACGTTTTAGTAGAGGGCATTATGTTAACTGGAAGAAAGTGATGAATCCAAATTCTCTGAAACTTTAGGAGGTTATATGGCTCACTGACCTGTCTTTCCTGAATGTCCCAGAAAATGTAAGTACCCATATTCATGCAATTAATAGTTAAAAGAGCTGGGGTTGAAGTCCAGTCCGTAGTACTCAGAAGCCCGTGCACTGCCCTCAGCCCTCTCCCAGCCATGCATCCATTGTGTCACAGGGTCTTAGCTTTAGGCTTTCTTGACCTATGACTCGGCTCTTGGAGGAACAATAGAGAACTGAGTAAGTGTATGAACTCTTGACTCAGATGGTCTGGGTTGAAACCCCAGATCTATCTGTGTGGCATGGTGTAAGGGACTTAATTTAGCTCATTGCTCTCATCTGTAAAATGGGGGAAAATATATTGTACCACTTCACAGGAGTATTATGAGAAAAGAAAATGCATTCAAAACACAACACTATGCTTTCTGTATAAGAACTTCTCAGTAAATGTCAGTTCATGTTACTAACTACTACAAGGAACAAAGACTTAAAAGCTCTAGAAGCATCTTGATATCATGTGTTCCCTAGTCAATAGAAACAAAAGCCACGCAAATGAATAAAATCCAGTCTTGAAATAATTCTGAGCATATCACTGCACCCTCTAATTTACAGTCATCTCATACCAAAACCTAGCATTTACTCTGTTAAGGTGACTAATAGGAAATGATGGGTTGACTTAAAATATCTTTCAGTCTATTCTGCAAAATCAAGCCATTCTGATTTTTCTACCTTAAGCCAGAGAAGTTCAAAATGTAAGTTGATCAGAAGGGCAAAAATGCTATAGCCTGACACAAAGGCAAACATATGCAAACACTTACCCTCTTTGTCTTCCAGACAAGCTTTTACTGCAGGATTAATAGCAGCAACCTCTACAAGAAATGAGAGCAACTATTAATGAATTGTCCTTAACCATTATTTGACAGTGTGTGTGTGTGTCTGGATAGACAAACACATAGATAGATGATAGGTAGATGATAGGTAGATAGATAGATTGATGATAGACAGATGACAGATGATATAGATAGATAACAGATGATAGATAAATAGATGGTAGATAGATATAGATAGATGATAGATGATAAATATAGATAGATGATAGATGATAGCTAAATAGATGATAGATATAGATGATAGATCATAGATAGATCATAGATAGATCATAGATAGATGATGATGATGATGATAGATAGATAGATAGATGATGATAGATAGATGATAGATAGATAGATGATAGATAGATGATAGATAGATGATAGATAGATAGAT